CCAGGCGGGTCTTGAACCCACTGGCTCAGGCAATCCACTCACCTCGGCCTCCCAAAGCGCGGGATTACAGGCTGAGCCACCGAGCCCAGTCAATGAATTTTTTTTTTTAACACATCCAAGTTTTTCTGAGTAAAGTAAGCCCCCTTCCAATTCCCCAAGTCTTCATGTATTACCTCTCAGAAGGTTACTTATAATCCTCACCCTTCCTTTGGTCCCTTTTAACAGTTTCCTGAATTTGGGGTTTACCTTTCTTGTATGCCACACTTAAAATCTCTTCCACTTGATCAGCAAAACCCATATCCAACATCTGGTCAACTTCATCCAGGACAACATGCTTAAGTTTGGTAAGATCTAGTTTGCCACTCTGTATGTGGTCTTTGATACGACCTGGTGTCCCAACCAGGATATCAATCCCATTCCGCATGCGTTCAACTATTAAAAAAAAAAAAAGACAAGATTTGCTGAGTTTTTAGTAAGTTATTTTTATCAGTTTGGGGTATCAGTGAACCATCGTTATCCTAAAATATTTTTTAAACAACTATGAGTATAAAGTAATATAATAAGTAGTGAAGAGATACTCAAGATGTTCCCAATCTAGTGGGAAAAACGTAGTGACAGTGCAGCATACTAAGTGTCAACAAAATATGCATCACTGGAGAATGACAGATTCAGGAAAGAAGTAATTTCCTTGGCTGGTGTAAAGTATCCAGGTTTCACAAAGTGAGAATTAAAGAAATATGAACTATTTCCATAAATTAAACAAGTATAGGGAGGATGAGATAAGATGGAAGGGCGAATATTTCAAGGATAGATAAAGATCTGGAAAAACAGAGGAGCTCAATATAACTGAGATGAGATGGTAATAATGCAGCTTTTATAACTGAGTTGCTACTGTAGACTAGGGTTCACATTTGGTACGTTATACACATTATCCAATACAATCTTCCCAACATCCCTGCAGGGTGGGTTTAGTAACCCTATTTTCAGATAAGAAAACTAAAGCACAGTTGTGCGCAGTGGCACACGCCTATAATCCTAGCACTTTGGGAGGCGGAGGCAGAGAATTGCCTGAGATCAGGGGTTCCAAACCAGACTGGGCAACTTGGTGAGACACTGTCTCTACAATAAATAAAAAAATAGCTGGGCATGGTGATGTGCGCCTGTGGCTTCAGCTACTTAGAAAGCTCTGGTGGAAAGGTCACCTGAGCCCAGCAGGTTGAGGCTGTGGTAGCTGTAAGCATGCCACCACACTGCAGCCTGGGTAACAAAGTAAGATTCTGACTCTAAATAAATATTAAAGCACAGAAAAATTAATCAACAGCTACTACTATGAGCAGAATTTAGACTCAGAATTTTCAGGTGCTTTCAGATGCTAAACCCTATGTTCATTCCATCAAAGCTGGAAAGAATTAAAAGCCTTGTGTGCCAAATCTAAGATGTGTTTTAATTCCTTAAATCCTTTCCAGATTTACACATATATCTATTCTACATAATAAAGCTCCAAGGCCTTGAAGTAGGAAGTAGTTAAGATATATTAAGAGCTCAGGGTATAACATTTGGCACTTGGACCCTAAGAAAAGAAAGTCCGGGCCGGGCGCGGTGGAGCTCATGCCTATAATCCCAGCACTTTGGAAGGCCAAAGTGAGAGAATTGCCTGAGTCTGTGGGTTCAACACCAGCCTGGGCATTGGTGAGACCTCACCTCTACAATAAATCAAAAAAAAAAAATTAGCCAGACGCAGTAGTTCCAGCTACTTCGAAGGCTGAGGAAGAAGGATCGCTGGGGCCCAAACGGTTAATGCTGGGGTGGCCACGGGCCATGAGCGTGTCACTGCTCTCCAGCCTGGGTGATAGAGTGAAACTAACTCAAAAAACAGAAAAAAAAATAGTAGTAAGTCTGCCTATGGCAAGAAAGAAGCAAGAATGCAAAAAGAGACAGAGACACAAGGACCTAACAGATAAAGATTAACCTCTAATTCTGACTTTCCATTTTCTGGGGTCCAACTGGACTATCCTTTTGGATTCCATGTTACCTTTGTAGCCCTTAAATAAATATAGTAATACAAAAGTACTAAGAATTATATACAGAATTTGCCCATCATTATGTAGGACCATATTTTTGACCATCTTTATTTATTTTATTTTTTTTTTTTTTGAGTTGGAGTCTCACTCTGTTGTCCAGACTGTAGTGCAGTGGCAATCCACTCACCTCAGCCTCCCAAAGGCACGGGATTACAGGCTGAGCCACCGAGCCCGGTTTGACCATCTTTAAATAACAATGACTCGTAGGCTCGGGTCTGTAATCTCAGCACTTTGGGAGGCTGAGGCAAGTGGACTGCCTGAGCCCGCGGGTTCGAGACCAGCCTGGGCAACTTGGCGAGACCTCATTTCTACAATAAATCAAAAAATAGCCGGGCATGGTGGCACATGCCTGTAGTTCCAGTTACTTGGAAGGCGAGCTGGAAAGATCACCTGACCCAGCAGGTGGAGGCTGCAGGGGCCGTGAGCATGCCACTGCACTCCAGCCTCGGTGAAAGGGTGAGACTCCAACTCAAAAAGCTAAAATAAAATAACAATAGCAAAAAAAATTAATCATGAACTAGACCAGGTAAAGAAGCCAGATCTCAAGGACAGAAGAAATCCAATCAGGGCACCCAACAATGGATAGCATCTTCCTTCCCCCACATTTTGAATTTACTTACATTGACCTCCGTAGGGAGTTCCACCATAAAAACAAGCCACTGCCAGCTTTTTTGTGATGTCACTAAAGTCTCTGCTTACTTGACTTGCCAACTCTCTTGTTGGTGCAAGAACTAGTACCTGAAAAAGAAAAATAATTCAAATTAATGTGCATTACTTGTTTCTTAATTTGGAATTCACTAGAAAAGTTCAACTCATACTAACAAGTATTTTCAAAGCATCGATTATGTGCTTTGCAAGGTATTATGGGTGTGGAAGAATCATATATTATGGATGCTGACAAATCTACTCATAAGCTTGTGATCTTACCAATCAGAAGACAAGTAGGTGTCCAAATGAATGGTGCTTTCCGGAAGAAAGTGGTATGGAGTAGACTAGAGGAACTAGGGAAAGTTTCAAGGAACTACTTGTGATTAAAGAACAGCATTCCAGGAAAAAAACAACTTGAGCAAGGACTAATGCTCATGATGATAACATTAGCTAATATTTGTGCTTTTACTATACCTTATACTTACTATACTTACTGATACTCTACTAAATACTTTATATACATTTTTCTGACTTAACTCTCACAACGTTTTGGGTAGTTTAAAGGGTAAATAACTTGACTAAAACCAATGGCTAAGAAGTAGAGACTTTAGGTAATTGGGCACCAAAACCTATCGTCTTAAATCTCTACACTACAGTGAATCTGAAGCAGAACAAAGTGAGGCAAGTAAGGCAGGGTCAACACTGTAGGGGGCTCTGAATCCTACAGCAATGTGAGTTTGGCCCAAAAGTACAAATAACATGGGAATGTTAGAGATTCTCATTTAGGGTAACAACATGAAACAAATATGCTTCAATAACAACCTAGTTAACACTCACGTAAAAGATATATAATGTGCTGGGCTAGGTGGCTCAGCATGTAATCCCGTGCTTTGGGAGGCTGAAGTGAGTGGATTGCCTGAACCCGTGGGTTCGAGACCCCATCTCTACAATAAATCAAAAAATTAGCTGGGCGTGGTAGCGCGCGTCTGTAGTTCCAGCTACTTGGAAGGCTGAACCGGAAGGATCGCTGGAGCCCAGCAGGTTGAGGCTGTAGTGGCCGGGAGCAGCCACTGCACTCCAGTCTGGGTGACAGAGTGAGACTCCGACTCAAAAAAAAAAAAAAAAAAAAGATATATAATATGCCAGACACTATTCCAGGTGCTAGGGACACAGCAGTAAACAAATGAGTAAGCCGGGCTCGGTGGCTCAGCCTGTAATCTAGCGCCTTTGGGAGGCTGAGGTGAGTGGATTGCCTGAGCCCATGGGTTCAAGACCTGCCTGGGCAACTTGGCGAGACCTCATCTCTACAATAAATCAAAAAATTAGCCGGGCGTGGTAGCGCGCGCCTGTAATTCCAGCTACCCGGAAGGCTGAGGCGGAAGGATCGCCGGAGCCCAGCAGGTCGAGGCTGCGGTGGCCGGGAGCGGCCACTGCACTCCAGTCTGGGCAACAGAGTGAGACTCCAACTCAAAAAGAAACAAAAACAAAACAAAAACAAATGAGTAAACAAAGGAATTAATTTGGGGCAAAGAGACAATGGAAAGCCAGCGAGCAAGTAAGGTTAAGCCAGAAAGGCAACTGCCAGAACACACAGCCTAAGTGACAACATAGGCATTCCCAGTTATTTCAGTGAGGTTAGGTTTGTCAAACCCCAGGTTCTCTAGAAATGAGTCATTCTGAATGAGCCAATGGGCTCATTCTGATAAGGGGTCTTGGCCCCTTCAATTCAGGCTTTCTAGGCAAAGATGTTCCCAGACCTATAACCGTTTGAAGGAAATATGATGAGCATTAATACAGATTATCATAACCGAGGGACACATTATATTTACTTAAATATACAGAATTTGTGGACCAGTCTTCAAAGAATTACCCTGGCTTACCCTCAGGTAAAGATACACAGTAAATAGGTGACTACAAGAATAAAAAAAAATTTAAAAAAAAAGAACTCATTAAAAAATAGGATATATAAACAACACCCGAGAGGTGTTTTTTCCTTTGCTGATTTAGAGCTCCTACAGTATGTATTTAAAGGAGTTACCTGAGGGGCACGGCCTCTCTTCTTGTCTTGCAATTCCTCACTAAGTTTCTCAATCAAAGGGATGGCAAAGGAGAATGTCTTTCCAGTTCCCGTCCGTGCCTGTGCAATTAAGTCCTTCCCACTGTAGACATGATGGAATGTCTTTGCTTGTATGGGAAACAGGAAGGTCACCCCTCGGCCTAGGAACAAATTAACTGTGTTATCTGATACTGTGATTCTTAAAATATCAGCCATAAGCGGAGCTCGGTGGCTCAGCCTGTAATCCCAGCGCTTTGGGAGGCTGAGGTGAGTGGATTGCCTAAGCCCGCGGGTTCGAGACCCGCCTGGGCAACTTGGTGAGACCTCATCTTTACAATAAATTAAAAAATTCGCCGGGCGTGGTAGCGCGTGCCTGTAATTCCGGCTACTCGGAAGGATCGCTGGAGCCCAGCAGGTTGAGGCTGCGGTGGCCGGGAGCAGCCACTGCAC